GCAATTTGTATGCAAGTCTGGAAAGTTACTCTAAATTTTGTTTCTGACATAGATAGCTAGGATTACCATTTATTTTGTATTAAGATGTATTAAGTCATCTAAATGAAAAGATGCAGGTCATTAGCTTATAATTTGAGTATCTACATATTTTTTTTACTTAATAAAGGAACATAAATAAAACCCAAGCAGACCTTTCATATACTTAATAGGTGGGATATTTAATACATTCCTTTAAGGTCTGTTGTGTGCTTTATGTGGACTATATGTAGTATATGCACATACTTTCATATGCACTTATTATAATAAGTAAAAAAAAATCCAGCACCAAGTGAATGCATTGTCAATACTAGCTTTATTTTTTATTGTATAATCAGTCATACCACTCAGCTCATTTTCTTTCTGTACCACATAATTCTTACCAGTTGCATAACAATTTTATTAGGTAAACTCCAACAAAATAATTCAATTTATTCCCTCCTGTTTTAAAGGATATAATATTCTGTTTTAGCTCTCTCTGTAGGTCAGTTTTGTTCATGCTGGATAGACAGTTTATTTAAACTATATAAACCATCAATAGTTGATGATAAAATTTCTCTCCCTTTCCTCAGTCTTGATTGGATCAGTTCCATGGGGGGGATAATTTTCACATTCCTATTATCTGAGTTTAAAAGAGCTCTTCCTTTGGAGCTAACAGATAACACATTATCTTCAAATAATGTAAAAATCCCATAAGTGCTATGAAGCCCTCTGAGTATTCAGTAAATCTCGATGATAAGACTACCTAAAAATCATTACTAAAACAACTTCAATTGATGATAATGCAGTAAAAATGGCATTTTCTTTTCCTTCAGATTAAGGAAGTGTGCATACAATGAAGTGATAGTTTATAAAAAGTAACATTTCTGCTTCACAAGTGTGGTTTAGAAGCACCAGTGCCTGCCTTAGGAAGACCATGTGAAGAAGTGTAAGCTAAGTTTGACTGTGCTTCAGTTTCTGGCATAAGTACTTGTTATTACAGAAACACCAACTCTTCACTTAAACTCTATACCATTTGGTGTGTCCCATGTCTGAAATTATTCATAGTCTTGCTTTATGTGATGGATTTTTTCACTGATCTGAAGCATTGAGCAGTAACTACACTGTACATTTGTCTTTCCAAGATAGAGCACTGCTGATTCACAAATAAGATGGCTTTGTACAGTTGAATGAATTTTACATGGTAGCACTAGCAAGTGAGCAAATAAACGTGGTTGGATGGGATGACTACTATAGTACAATACAGTTACAGTTAATTTTTTTTGGAGTGAAATCTAATGATTTAAAATAAAAATGATTTGTGATATTTCTACAGTGACACTCCAAACTTGGGCTTTTCTGGGGGGAAAATGGTGCAACTAGTTGTATGTGATTTGAAAGTTTTATGATGGTTCTGGATTGGTTCATATTAAGCCAGGTTTGAGTTTTTCTAAATTTCATTGCTATGGCCATGAGTTTTCCTGAAGAGCATATCGTAGAAATTACTTAGGGGTAAAAGAGATATGGAAAGGGAAAGAGTTCTCATTCTGAGTAAATGATTAGGTTGGATTTAGCTTTGCTACTGTGATTATCTACCTAACTGGAATCTGTATCCAACTGGTGTTTACAACTTTTTGACTCAGCATTGTGTTACATGTCCAGGTGTCATAGGTATTCAAAGTTTGTGTTTGTGGATCAAGTAATAAAACTTTTTGTTACTTTACTAATGTTAAACACATGTCCTTTACTGTGAAGTATGGAATATCTTTAAAAAGAAATTCTTCCACTTTTGATGTTTTAAAGGGCTGGAGAACCAGTGTGTGGGAGTATGGAGGATATGAAAAAATTAACTTTATTCCTTATAATAGTGATTAAAGTATTTGTCCCTTTTCATTTCTCTCAAATGTAATGTGATAATGTAATGCCATTAATGTAACAGATTCTTAATTTCAGTGTTAAAGGAACAGTCACTTCTTCCTTACTAAAGCTTTTTGCACCTTTTATATGCCATTCTTAACTGGAGGCAAAAAAAAAATCATGCTAATATAATTTAAGATGTGGAACTTAAAGGAAAACAGGCAGGTCTCAAAAGTAATAAATATTCCACTCTTAAGTTTCAGACTTGTAACAGCTCAGTTATAAATTCTAAATCTTAACCTATACAACATGTTGTAAGTAGTGTGCTTTGAAGTGCCTACAAACTGTCTCTTACTGAAGCATTGTTTTAAAGTTGTATGATAATGTGGTAATGTGTATGTAACACACTTGCTCGTTACTGTTTACAAGTTTCATCACACTGTGTTGAATCATTAGCAAATATGATTTTCCCTGGGATCCATATATTATCACATGGAGCCAAAACTGAGCTCTATTTAAAATTTATAGTCAGGATAAGAGTTAGCTAAGGGCTTTTTAATGGTCTCTCATTTTGATGAGTTAACAGCAACATTATCAGAAGATCTGACAATGATAAACTGTCTAGAATATAGCTTTACACTACACTAGTGAACTTAAAAAAAGTCAGCCCCCAAAATAGCCATCACAGTCTGTGCACTGAAGTTAATGCAGTTTACACACAGGAAGCTCCCCTCAGATCCTTATGCCATCTTATTAAAGTTATATGTACTATGATTTCTAAGCTGATAGGAAATAGAATGGGCTGCTTAGAAGCAGGCATAGTGATCACAAGAAGTGAACGTTACAAATGAAATAAAAAAGAATAACATTCAGAACTAGTGTAGTAATAAATAGCCTTACCTCCATCAGTAGCCCCTAAAAGAAATTAGTCTATGATAGCACAAAATACAATAGTGGATATTTCTAATGATGCCAATTTGTCAAGAAAAGGTTAATTTAAGTACAATATTCCTTTTACCAAAGTAGGGAGTATGTGATACATTTTAGAAAGTTAAAAAATAAAGTTTTGATACCTAAATGGGTGGGCTTCATTTACTGGGAAAATCCATTAACTCATATGGAACAGTGTAACACCCTCAACAATGCTGGAGGAATGTTCCTACTCATTTATTGTATTTATTATGCCTCATGTAATCGACTGGCTTCTTTGGGTGGTTACCCCTGAAATTACTGTAGCATGTAGGACTGTTCCATACCTAGTAGGTGTTAAGTCCCTTTTGGCTCTAAATCCTATGAAATATTAATATTACAAATTCTTGCTTCTTGCTTGGATAGAGTGTCATTTTTCAGATCTATATTTCAGCCATGTTCCAATGAACAAAACACAGTAAAATAAATCTGATATTTACATGCATGTCTTTATTCTGTGGGAGGAATTCTTTTCATCCAGAAAACATGGCCTCCCTCTTCCCCCCAGCCCTGGAAAGAAACGCATGTTTTTTTATAAAAATGGGTTTCAGTCCAAAAAGTTACTCCATTTGCAGCATAAAGTGTGGAAAGCATGAAAGGATTGTAGAGGGACCCTGGAAAATTTTTCACTTTAGTCATGCACCTCTATTACTCAAATTACATTCATCTGTAATTGTGTCCAACACAATGGGTGGCTGCTACTTCTGCTGGCAAACTTAGGGGTAGATTCTGCCCCATCCAGGTGGAAAACTCATGATGGACATGGACAAGAATCACATAAAATGGGTTTTCATCTGTATTGTTGGAAGAAACATCCAAAATAAGATCAGATTTGAGTATTCTGTTCAGTGAATGTAGCTTACTATAAACAGGGCAACCACTGGAGTCAGTGAAGACCTGAGTCAAAATCCTGCCATCCAACAGCACCTTCTCCCTAAGCAGTTATTCTTTTAAAAAATGTTCTAAATAGGATTTATGAATTAACTGCATTAGCTCGAATCTAAGTAAGTCTTATGTTGAAATTTAGCAACTTAAAACAGATGGAAGTTGCCTAAGAACACTTACTCATTCAGGTATAACAAATCATTGCATGTATTTTTATCAGTCTGTCAGTAAGGACCAACAAGTGCTTGCTATTTCGAGTTAGCCAGCACGGCTTATCTGTAGTTTGCTCCTCAAGTGTTTGTTCACATTTTTGCAGTGCTGAAGGAAATGAAGATAACACCTTGTATTTACCAAAGCAGAGGACAGTTTGCAGAGAAATCTTTATTTTCCATTTTATAAAAAGAAATACAAATAAATTCAAAGGATATTGATAAGCCTTGTCCACCTTAATGTTTTAACCATGTTAAGGACAACTTCTCTGCCCTTTATGTAACAGACTTCACTGTGGAAGAAATATTTAAATGGCAATAATACACAGTTCTTTTTTATTATTCAGGGATATTCAGGAAGAGAATGAATTCCACACTTAGATTAAAATCAAGTTCTATCTTAACCCAAAGGAGGTTTTTGCAACATATTGATTATGGTAGAGAAGATAAAGCCTGTCTCAGCTTAAATAAAACTTTTAATAATTTAATTTGAATTTTCCTTTATAATTTTGCCATCTAAGTCCAAAATTATTTTTATACAACACAGATGGGTAGGTCTTAAAATGGGTATAAGTATCCACACCTTTGAAACCTATATTAAAATCATTCCTTAACTGCTAGACCCTCACATTTCCAAAAGGCCACAAATTATTGAATTGAATCTTAACACTAGAATTTAATCTCAACATTTCAACCAACTGAATTAGTTGGAAATAACAAAATTTTTCTTTGGATGATGGTTTATACAGCACTAATACAATAATCATCTTCCCAAGAGTCCCGGAAGGGGAAGAATAATTTTTATTACTACATTAGTAAATATTTTTAGGATTAATTGTTTATACTCCTGGTCTTCAAGACCAGATCTTTTTTAAAAAAATCAAGTTTATCCACATAGTACATTTATATATATATATATATATCTCATTATATATATATATATATATATATATATATATATATATATATACACACACACATATATATATATGTATATGTATATTGCAGAATGGTCTACACTAACAACAGTTTAACAAAATAATAGGGAAAATGAGGCAGTAGGGATAGCGCTTAACCTTTTTTAATAAAGTATTTCCACAGGAAATGTTCTGATTACATTTATGACATTTGAAATCATCAATTACATAAAACTAAAACACAGGTATATTTTTGTATTGCACATTTAAAGAGCTGGAAAAAGCTACAGCTTAAAAGGTCCTCATTCATGGCAAAAAATATATTTTTGTATCTCAGATTATGGAGAGGTTGAATAGTTTGGCTCATAAATGCACAATGATGCCAGGGGCAGCTTAATTGGAAAAAACAATGTCCTGCAAAAAATAGAGAGTAAACAAACCTACATATGAAGCTAATCATGAAATTAAAGTAAAATTTATTTTGAAGCTAATGAAGTCTTTTACCTGTATGAAGTTCCAACAGTCCATTCTCTCAGTTTGAAGGCTAAAGTCATGGGCTCTGTTCTGGAGCCTGTGCATAGTCCTGTGTGCTTCCTTGAGAGGCATGAGGTGGATGAGGGGGGGCACAGTCTCTAGAACCTGAAGGTGTCAAGTCTCTTGTAAAAGGTGGAGGTGGGTAGTCCCTTGGACCATGGGCTGGAGGCGGCAGTCGTGGGCCAGGAGGAAGGTACTCTCTTGGGCCAGGAGGGCCTAGAGGTCCAAAAGGTGGGTGTCCACGTATATACTCTCGAGGGTCAGGAGGTAGGTCCCTTACTCCTGGTGGAAGGCCATGTAAGTACTCCCGAAAGCTTGGAGGTGGAGGACCACCAGGAACTGGCAAAGAAAAATAAAATTAAATTATGCAAAAGTTATATCACCTGATACTAATCATGAGAACTTTGAGTAGCATAATTTCATAGACATAGTATTAAATGCTAAAGGCTATAAGAGCTATTCATTTCAATACAGAACCACAATATCTATTGAAATGAATTTTAAATTCGTGTGTGTGTGTGTGTGTATATATATATATATCGATGTGTGTGTGTGTGTGTGTATATATATATATATATATACACACACACACACATATCGATATATATATCGATATATATATATCGATATATATATATGGGTTTATTACCCTCGCACTTCAGGCATAAGAGATAAGAACTTGACCTAGTAACAACAACCCTTTTTCCTCAGAATTGTGAGCTGCCTCAACTTCAAAATACTGGGGGGTTAGGCAGCAAACCTGTACAACTCAACCAGGTACATCTTTGCATTACAAAGCACCTATAATGTGTTAGGTGGTGTTAAGCCCAGGAAATAAAAGAAAGGCAAAAGACAGTCCCTGCCCTCAAGGAGCTTACAATAGAATGGGGAGATAACGTGCTAACAAGCTTTATACAAGATAAATAGGAAATTAATAATCAACTGAGGGAAGGCACTCTAATTAAAAGGGGTTGGGAAAGGCTTCCTATAAAAGATGGAATTTTAATTGAGACTTGGAAGAAAGTCAGGAAAACCAGGAGATAGAGATGAGAGAGAATTCTAGGCATGAAGGGCAGCCAGGATAATTTCTTCTTACCCATTCTCTGCTAAATATTTGAAAAGAAGAACAATACAAGCCTTGCCAGTCAATTATCAATCCATATGCAGCAGCACCATACCAAGAGGTGGAGGAAGAGGTCGAGGCCCATAAGGTCCTCGTAGTGGAGGAGGTGGTCCAAATCGAAGAGGTGGTGGTGGAGGTCCTCCTATTGGTGACATGACGGGCATTCCTGGGAATGGTGGGTGGCCTTTGGGACCAGTGTTAACCTGTTATATAACACAAGTACAAATTTTAAAATAATATTTTGCTTTATGACATGACAGACCAAAAGCACCAACCAAAAAGATGAAAACATAAGCCCAGTGACAGATAAAAAGATATTTATTTCCTAGAAAGAAACAGCTTGCTACCTTGGCACCTTTCCCCTCCAACTAGTTTTGAAAGGAGCACAGTCACTGCTGCTGCAGTTTTCTGTTACTATCTCCAACAAATTGCCCCCATCGGACCACGTGTTGTTTAGGGAAGTTAAGAGGTAAAAGTAGTAAATAATTGTCTCTACTCTTTTCAATGCTGTTATTATAAACATACCAGCAAAGGTAACAGGTAGCATCAAACATAAAATATTCCTGCCAATATACACAATGCAGCAACACAATACAGGCAGTCCTTGGCTTAAGAACAAGAGCTATATAAAAATACGAAGAGAGAGAGTCATAGGTAAACCTCCTGCTCAGACAGAAACAACTGCTGTGCTCCCCAGTTCAGAATATCTAGATAATAAATTTTAAGACTATATGCATGAAAAAAACTAAACGAATTTTTCCAAGTAACTCGGCCAAAAATATGTGGATTGCTCCACTTCCCTTCCCAGTCAAAAAGTGAGAATTCTTTTTGGGGAGAATTCAAATTGAAATTTTAAATTGGAAATTGGAATGTATTTGCCTAGTGAAATGTTATAAACATCATAATCAGACATAGTTGGAATAGTACCATTATTAATTCTATACTGTAGACAGCTTCCAGGCTCTGTGGACATAGGGCCTGAACTCGAGATGGAACTGTGAAGGTAATCTGAAGGGCTTTGGAAATGGGAAGATGTCTACAAATTTGCTAAGTGAAAATCTGAGAGAAACTGAAGGTGAAGGGCAAACAGGCCAGAAGAGCAATGATCTGAGGAAGACATGGCTAAAGGAGGTAAAGGACTCAGGCTGAGAAAAGATAAGACAACTGGTTAAGAACAGTGCAAAGGCTTAGAAAGGAAAATGAAACTGAGTGTAGGTGTTGATGTGCTTAAAAGAAAGGAATAAATCTGTACCTGAAGACCTCCCAAAACAGTTTGCTAAAGAAGTTTTACAGATAAGCCACTGGTGAGAATTATAAGGACTGAGGATCTCACTTCCAAGAACAGAAGGCCAGGTAAATCTTTGCCTTCAAAGACTGTGACACTTCATAATAAAATAAAAATTACATGCAAAGTACAGACAGTCTCTCCTTACCAGAAAAAAAGTTGAGTTGAGAAACACCTCTTTACTCTAGGTTACTACTAAGGAGAACAGAGCATCCTGAGAAAAAAACAAAGCAACCAGAAGGTCTTCAAAATAAAAACAAAGCAACTTTTGAAAGGACTGACCTGTCAGGAAGTTGGAGAGTAGAAGACTGTCACGCAGAGGAAAGAGAAATGACAACTAAGGCTTTTCCTAAAGAGATGGGAGCTGCCTGTCCCCTTGGAATAATAATGTGTACCATAAGTGCTGTCAGGTGATAGACTGGTAAGAGCCAGAGGAGAAAGGCAAGTCTGGGTCCCAGCTGAGAGATATTGAGACAGCTATTTTACAACCTAATAACAATAGAAAGGTCTGTTATCTTTTCAGGGCATATATCTAAGACATAACTGAGAAATATCCCAAGACTTCTTAAGCATGATGAATAGTATAGACAATGTTGGTCATTCGTGTAGGCACAATTAACACTTCCAGAAAGAAGCTGGAAAGCATTGCTAAAGAAACTTTACAACCTTAAGGTAGGAGGTATTTTCATCACTGCCACCTCCTGAAGGCAAGTGATTCAGAAAATAGAGGTAGATTTAGGAAGTGAATAGTTGGGTAAGAAAATGGTGTCTGACCCACGATGAAAATTGCTATTCACCTCCAGGAGAAAACTGATAAACTCCAAGTACAGAGTGAAGCACACTTTTTCTACTTTGTTTATCATTCCTCAGTTTTTCTTTTCTGGGGGGGCAGTGTATGTGTTTTCATTTGCAACATGGTTAATATGGAAATACGTTTTATAAAACTTCACATGTATAATCGATATCATATTGCTTGCCTTCTCAATTGGTGGGGAATGGACCAGAGGGAAGGAGTGAATTTGGAACTCAAAAATTTTAAAAATTAATGTTAAATTTTTTTACACATAATTGGAAAATATTTAAATAGATAAAAAGCATATCTATGTGTAAACATGTATATGTACACTGTGTATGTATGTATATATAGGTATGGGTGCATATATGTGACCATATATCCATGACCACACATTGTGTGTGTGTGTGTGTGTGTGTGTGTGTGTGTGTGTGTGTGTGTGTATGACCAAATGTTTTAGTTCAAGATATGCTTGTGGAAAAGGAGAGATGTGGGCCCAGCCATAATACCGTTAGATAGGAGTTGGGATTGGCTAACTAGCTGGATTCAAAGAACAGTCAGGTTTCTGGTGGAGTGATCAAAGTTCAGTGCTTGTCCTTACGCTATTTAACACTGTCAATGACTTGGATAAAGAAGTCTTACCAGACTTGCATTACAAGACACAGTTGAAAAATCTTGACAGGTTAGAATATCAAACTATAACATAAGAAAATTGGACTTGATTCTGAGGGCCCTTCCAAGCCTCATATTCTATGCTGCTAGAGTTTTTGTTGTTTGTCCTTCATTCTGGAAGAGGACCACGACATCAGAAAGGTGATGCCATAACTTGCAAGTGAATTGGATTTAAGTGAGGGAGGGCTGTGCAAAGTCACCAACCTCACTTTCTCCTCCAGAGTCATCTGAGTCCAGTGACAAGATATAGGTTAGGATGACTAGAGACAGCTCTGGATGCAGTGGAAGACCTTAGTCTTTTGAAGCTAAGGTCTTTTCAAGTTGTCAGTTTGACTGAGGCAATGTCCATTCATTGATTAAAGCTAGGTAAGAAATAAGCCAAAGCTTATTTATATTAAATAAGCCAAATAATGCCCCTTTTACCTCATAAAAAAAATCAACCTGGGAGGGGAATTTATTTATATTCACTCTGAGCTATCTGGGCCCAAACAATAACCAGTAAGTGGGGCTTCGGCTGGGATCTATTGTTGGCCAATCAGTGACAGCCAGACTGAATTGGATTTAAGGCATCGTCCTGAAGAGAAAGAAACCTAGCCTGGAAACCCCAAGATATCTTCTGAGGTTTCAGCCATCAAAATTTACATTCCTTTGGGCAGAGCACCCACAGGTAAGGGGGGGTATGATACTCTATGTGGACAGAGGGAGGGGAGGGAGGGGAAGAAGGAAGGAAGAAAGGAACTGCATTGTCCAACTGGACCTGGCCAGTTAGGTCCCTAGTGGGACAGCTCATGCTACTCACAAGTTATTATTTGTCCTTCGTTCTGGAAGAGGATCATGATATCAGGAAGGTGTTGCCATGACTTGCAAGTGAATTGGATTTAAGTGAGGGAGGACTGTGCAAAGTCACCAGCCTCATTTTCTCCTCAGGAGCCATCTGGGTCCAGTGGCAAGATACAGATCAGGATGACTGGAGATGGCCCCCACTAGAGTTGTTACATGGAAGAGAGATTCAATTTGTTCTACTTCACCCAGAAGAAAAAACTAGGAACAATGAGTGAAAATTGCTAAGAGGCCAATCTAGGCTTGATGTCAGAAAGAACCTCTTCAAAATTAGAGCTGAATGAATAATAGCAAGGTCTTTGGAGTTCATTCTCAATCCATGTCACCCTGGGCAAGCATCACTCTTTGGTGTTGAAACAGCTCTCTCAGACTTGAGGTGCAGAGTGCCAACCCCCACTGGAATAGTTTGTCAGAGTCCCCTCCCAAGAAAAACCACAGGCCTAATTTAAATAGATTAAAAGTAATCAAAATGAGAATGGGGTGCCTTGGGAGATGGTGGGTTCCACCTAACTGGAGATCTACTTGTTAGATATTCCATGAAGGGGATTTTCTTGTTTAGGTACCTTTTTTCAGGGGTGGGGAACCTACGGCCTCAAGGCCACACGTGGCCCTCTAGGTCCTCAAGTGCAGCCCTTTGACTGAATCCAAAATTCACAAAACAAATTCCCTTAATAAAAGGATTTGTTTGGTAAAACTTGGACTCAGTCAAAAGGCCACACCCAAGGACCTAGAAGGCCACATGTGGCCTCAAGTTCCCCACCCCTGGTTTAGACAGTTTCTGAAGTCCTATGACATAAGTGGCTTGAGAACCTCATCAATACAGGAAATACAGGAAAATGTATTCCAAAAACCAAACTGACTGAAAAATAGAACTTGTTCATAAGTTGTGGACTGTCTGCATAATCGTTTCAGAATATTCAACACCAAATAACTAGCAAAACTTCTTGCTAATAAAAGGAAACCAGAATTAAGGGCAGGAGTAAACACAGCAGAATGCACCAACTTAAGCTGATTAATTTCCAAGCTCTTCTTAGTGATAGGCCCAATGTAAAATTGTTAATATTTAGTACCTAGCTCCCTGGATGGAGATGATGTCCTTATATGCAACCAATTTACTTTGCAAACTTTAATTTGCTATACACATATAATTGCATAAAAGCAATCTAGACTGTATATGAAGCAGGCACCTTCAGACCCAAAAGTTGTATAACTTTGTTTTGCATGAAAGACCTCTACCATCAAGTGCCTAAAAGCAATTAGTCTCCTAACCCGCAACAAAGAAAAGTCAGTTTAACACAACAATCCTCTAAAACCAAGTGAGAGGTCAACCAACCAGATGCGCCATGCATTTAAAGCACTGAAAAGTAGTGTCATGCTTTTCCTTAGTTTCCCCCAGATTTCCCAGAAAGTAGCAAGTAAAAGCCCAGCTCCATTTTCAGCCTCCAAATACTTACTGGTACTGACTCCTCAGCTGATGGTAGAACAGTAGGAGCACAGGGGCCTTCAGCCTCTGGGGGAAGGGTTTGCTTTTTTTTTTAATGAAAAAGTACAGATATAATAGAACAGAACATATAATTAAGAGATAAACCAAGTAGAGGGGATTATATAAATGTTTCCTCAAACAGTCCAATGAAAATGATTATGACCTTACCATGCCATCCAGCACTGTTGAGGGAGAAGAGCTTCTTGGGCCACTATTCATCAAAGGGACTGGACCAGGACCCAAATCTGTTAATAGAACAGAAAAATGATTTTCATACATTCGTAATTTAAACTTCTATGAATGAGAAAAATCAAGGAGTATTTTGTTATTTACTTCTCTAGCTCTTACTCCTTTAATAAATCTAGTTTCCTTACCAGAGGCAGACGTTCTTCCAGATACTTCAGATGACCTCCTCAGACTAGGACCAAGAGGAGGCCCATCCATAGATCCTTGAGAAAGAGAGGTGAAACAAGCTTTAAATGATCATGCTAGGTTAAATTAACTCTATTAAATGTCAAGCCCTAAAAAAAATGGTCTACCAATTAAAAAAACCAAAGCCAGTCTTGACATCTAACACAGCCTAGTTCCTCAAATAAAATGCTGAGAGCAATAAGAATTTTATTAAAAATATAAAATAGTATCCACAGCCATTCTGAAGGTCAATAGAAGTTTTATCTTCTACATATATAGCTGAGGATTTTAAAATAAATATACAAATGGAAGTCAACACTTGACACAAGGGTTGCTGAAGAAATCTGAAATAGGAAAATGAATAAAATTTATAGTCAAACTGTATCAGTCATGTAATGTTTCACATTATTTTACTTATTCATGTATTTTCAAATTTGTTAGGAAATGAGATTTTGTAGTAATTTCATGATCATTCCTGGTCCAGGAATCTCCAGGTAAGAAAAAGAACAGTAAAGAAATTCTGTTCTATAGCAGACTCTACCATCATATATAGTGGTATACCAAACCAAAATGGGAGACTGCTTTCTAAAAAGGTTCTTAGACACAAAATTCCAAACATGTAATTTGCATACAGATCCCTAAAAGGGAAGAAATAAGTTGTCAACAAAGTTTTTTGCAGAAAAAAAGCCACCTGCTTACCAAATTCACTTCTAGGTACATCTCTTCGGTTAAGAGTAGCAGAGACTGACCGTATAGGCGGTTCTATCATCAGTGGTGGGGAGGGTGCACCACCACTCACAGGGGATGGACCAAAAGAGCCGTCTCGGCTGAGGGGCCCTGAAGAAGACATTATCCCGTCACTATCCTATAAGAACTGGTTTTCTCTATTAAGTGGTAAAGATTATATTAAGAAGATCACAATATTCACAGACTATGAATTCTGACCTCCATACTAATTATCTCTCAAAGAGAAATTGGTGGGATTTATGAAATGCTCCTTACCTCTCCGTGGCGGAATCTGATGATCAGGTCTTCCTGGAGTTGGCTTTACAATCATTGGTCTTTGGAGCATTGCAATCTTTTGATTCACTTCTATTAATCTTTAATAAAGTGAGATAATGGTCTTGAATAGGGTTTAGAAAATGAGATAATAAAGTAATCTAACAATACCAACATCATAACTCAGAAATACAATGCCACCCTGAGAAGTGGATGTCAATGTCATCACATACGTACTTCTGTCTCAGGTTGGCTGCTTCCCTCTTCTCCTCTGCAAGAGCCCTTTCTGCAGCACGAGCAATGAGCTATTGTAAAATAAAATGAAATAAAATCAGACCAAATAATATAAAGGTAGAAATTAAATTATGAATAGAAGCTGTAGAAGCATTTTTAAAAGATTTTACATTCAAGAAACAAAAGGAATCCTCTTACCCAGTTGTCATGGGCCTTCTTCTCATGACTAGCAATCTAAAAGGTACAAAACAAAAAATTTGTAGTTTGATTTTTTAATGGCATGATTATCTGCACTAAATACCCTATAGCATATGAATGAAGGGTGATAAGATCAATACCTGATTCTTATATGACCTCTCTGTTTTCTGTAATTCATCCTCCATCTCCTGAATTCTTTGCCTATAAAAGATTTTAAAAATCAAAAAGAAAAAAGGCAAGCAACAGTTTCTTCTTCTTCTTCTTCTTCTTCTTTTTTTTTGCTTTTTGGTGAGGCAATCAGGATTAAGTGATTTGCCCAGGATCACACAGCTAGTAAATGTCAAGTGTTTGAGGCCGGATTTGAACTCAGGTCCTCCTAACTTCAAGGCCGGAGAGCTCTATCCACTGTGCCACCTAACAACCCCAAGCAACAATTTCTATAGGAAGACTCTAGAAGTTGAACTCACTTATAAGTTTTCACTTCTTCTGCAACCAAGCTGACTTTCTCATCTGCAGCAGTGAGCTTTTGCTCCTTTTCTTGCCTTTCATACTCTTCCTGAGTGAGCTTCCTGGAATCAAGAACAAGATTTAATCACCTGCTCAGGGATTCTCAATACTTTTGCTTTTCTCAACCAAACTTCAAAATGACACACACCCCAAATATTTATTGTCAGTGATGTTTTAGAAGACATTTAAGTCATTTAAAGAAAAGTTAAAATGCACTTCGTAGGATCAAAGATTAAACAGAGAAGGTCTCGGAGGCTATCTAGTCCAACTTCTTCATTTTATAAATGAAGAAACTGAGGCCCAGAGAGGACCTGCCCCAGGGTCACACAGACAGTAAGCATGGGTCAGGATTAGAACCCAGGTCTTCTTGACAAGTCACAAAGGTGTCACCCTTCTCATCTACCCCATAAGTAACTTAGCTTTTAGTATACCTCAGCTCTAACTCAAATTGGTAAGTGTATTATTGTGCATCTACTACATGAAAGGCACCACACAAGATAAAAGGAAAAGATATGGTCCCCTCCCTCTAAAAGGAAATCAGTTCTTCATGTGAAAGGTTGTGGCAGCTTACAAGGAAAGCTAGCTACTCCAAAATGATAAAGTAACACCTCGCTTTTATGTAACACCAAGATAATCAACTCAACTACAGTCATAAGGCCCTTAAACATCTTGGCTGATCTCCTCTAGACACTCCAGCTTATCAATTTCTGAAATGTAGTACCCAAATAATTCAATTAATGATAGCTGAATTAAATTCAATATAATAAATACACAGAGTGCTATGAGGTCAAATGAAGGTGCAGTGTTACTCTGCTAGTGGAAAGTTATATTTGTGTTGTTTCCACAGCTAGATATAAACCTTGTGAGGGTAAGGACTGGGTCTTGTACCTCTTTTGTGTTCCCAGCACCCAGACAGGGACTTACATATAGTATGTGCTCAATAAATGTTTGCTCAATCAAGTATTCATTAAGCACTTATTAGTAATGCTTTTGTTCCTACTGTGTGTCCAGACATGTATTGAACACTACAGGAATGAAGCAGATAAAACAACTCTTTGCTTCCTGGAACATTTCTTGTTTTGAACATGTGGAATGACAAGCTATGCTACCCCAGGGGCCTAATCCTCCTGAGGGTTGCTTTTTTTTTTTCTTTTAAAACATATACTCAGTATTAAGAGTATATCTAGCATGACTTCAGTATTCTTCTCTCTGAAAGACTGACATGAGGGTCTTCAGACCTTATTTATCATCCATGTGCCCTTTAGCAAATCATAATTATTCTGGGCCTCTGTGTTTCCTCATCTGTAACTGAGGGGGTTGTACTAGATGATCTAAATCTTATATTTCTATAGTCTATGTTAACACAAGTAAGGACATAAAAAAGGTAATTTTGAAAGAGTTAAAAAGGAAGAACACAGAACAATCATCTCCCAAGTAATAATTACCTAAGCTATATTATTAAAAAAAAAAGCAAGCTTGCTTTCTAAATGCAAACTTCTGACTTTGATAAAAGGCAGAAGGCAAGATACTATCAGTACACAGTCTAGTATCACAGGATCATAGCTTTAAAGATGGAAAAGAACTCAGAAGTTAACTAGTTCAACTCTCCTCATTTTAGAAATGAAAATAGAAATGTTTTGAAAACTGAGACCTACGGAGGCTGCCCAGGGTCACACATCCAGTAATGGTCTGAGAGAGCATTGGTTTTGTTTCTTTTGGTGAGGCAATCATGGTTAAGTGACTTGCCCAGGGTCACATAGCTAGTGAGTATCAAGTGTCTGGGGCCAGATTTGAATTCAGGTCTTCCTGACTCCAGGGCCAGTGCTCTATCCACTGCACCACCTACCTGCCCCTTCTGAGAGGGTATCTGAATTTATGTCTCCCTGACTCAAAGTCAAGTGGCCTATCTGCTATACTAGAGGTGTCAAAAAATGTGGTCCACAGGCTGCCATGTGGCTCACAACACTTCCAAGTGCAGCCCAAAACAGATTAAAATGTAGCTCCTGTCTCATTTTATTGTGCTGATGCACTAATTTAAGGGAAAAAAAGGGCAGCTAGGTAGCACAATGGATAGAATGCTGGGCCTAACGTCAGGAAGACATGTTCATGAGTTCAAATCTGGCCTCAGATACTTACTAGCTGTATGACCCTGGACAAGTCACTTAACCCTGTTTGCCTCAGTTTCCTCATCTGTAAAATGAACTGGAGAAAGAAATGGCAAATCACTCCAGTATCTTTGCCAAGAAAATCCCAAATGGGGTCACAAAGAGTTCAATACAACTAAAATAACTGAACAATTAATAAATTAATTAAAAAAAGAAATACATAAACATATGTGGTGGTTTTCTAGGCACAGTGCGTGTATATCTCAGCACACACACATTCATCTAGAAAATATTTATCAGTACATAGACACTTACTTCTGCAGAACCATCTCTTTCTGCTGGTAGAGTTCATTAAGAATCTCCACTTTTTGTTGCAGAGTTTTACATTCATTTTCCAACTGTGCTTTGGCTGACTGCAGAGAAGAAGAGTCATGTTCCAACTTCTTAATTTGTTCTGTAAAAAAAAAAATGTTCTGCCTGTTTGTGTGTGCATGTGACAAATGACACCAGGGGCAGGTAAGTGAGAATATTCAATTCTCGTATACAAACTCATTTATATTATTTAAAAAGAAAACATTTCATAAAGAAGAGTCTACCTTCCAATTCATGCCGAGCTTTTATTTCATCACTGAGTTTGGACTGCAATTGGTTTCTATCTTCTTCAACTATTGTTAATGTAGTTTTAACCTACAAGTTAGAGAATAGAGATTAAACTGAAATGTAAGATAGGAACTGTACAGACATTGTGTTGTATTACAAAAGGACCTAGATCTTACCCGTGAGACATCCATCATCTGTTTAATCTGGCTCTTCATCTTCTCATTCCGATTATCTTTAAGAAAAAAATAAAAAAGAGAATTTACTATTTATCATTTTATTTTTTTTACCTCCAAAAATTCTTGAGAATCCAAGACAAATATTTTAATAAAAATGAAACATCCTAAGAAAACCTGAATTCACTGGCCAGACACTGGCTACTTCACTCTTCAGGAAACTATAAACCTCTATACCAAGTTGTATTTGCCCAAAACAAAGTTTAGCAGTATTGTTCTCAGACTGGAAAGAGCTTTACATGGTAAAAAATTCCCTTTCAACTGAGAAACACTTCCTTTGTATTTTGTACCTGTCCTGATGGCAATTCCTGTTCTCTTGCTTCTGCCTTCTTGTAAAAAGCTGTTCCATTGTGGGTAAAAAACCCAAACCCAAACACATTTTAATGGTGGGACAAAGCAGATATCCCATTTGAAACATAAATACTAGAAAAGTGTTTTCTACTTCACAAGTTGGCAGGTGCCACTTTTTTCTGTTCCTCAAGCCCAAATAAACCAAGAAATGGCTTCTACAGACTATGCTGCAACTACTGGGCATTTGCTCCTGGTTTCTGAAACCAAAACACTGAAAAAGAGGTCTGCAGTAATTCACTAAAATCCTTCTGGGCAGGAGTAGATTCTTGGTTTTAAACATCAATCCTGTGGCAGAACTACTATCACATCCTGAAGTTGTTTTAACTTTAAGAATAAATCCAATGATTAAATCTAGTTTTCACTTTGTCCTTTAGAGGTGGCTCAGGTTAGATGAAATGCAGGTCATTATTTTCTTCCTTTTTTCCCATCCCTAACTAGCAGAAGGGAGAAAAAGAAAAGTTCTTATATGGAGCCTAGGATCTGATTAGTGGACAGACTCAACTACAGATTTAGGGACATATTTAATGTTCAATGGTATAAAATGTAAAGCTAATGTTTTTCCCTGGTATACTTTCAAAACAGTTCCTAGCAAACAAATTTAGGGACACAAGTCCCAGAGAAAGTTCTAAATGTTCTACCTTCCTATCACAGTGTTAAAATGGATAAGCAAAAAATCCATGAGCTACCTGAGGTGATTTTATCTGACAGTTCTCCATTGGCTAAGTCATCCCATCCATTTCCTTCTTCATTATTTTTGCGCTCAGATTCAGAATCAAGATCAAGTTGTTTCAGCTGCATAATGCAATTAGTCAAAACCTAATGAAGAAACCAAAAGGCATCAGAGAAAAGCTCCAAATGTGCAGAACATAAAAAGATAAGTTCCTTAGCAGGAACTTACTTCAATTTCATTCTCTTTGTAAGCAAGGGCTTCTTCGGTGTCTTTCTGAGTCTTCTGATATAATTTGATTTGCTCACTGAGTTCAGTGTGTCGCTCACTCCAACCTTCTGCTTCCTGCAGCAGCTAGGGGAAAAAAATGACTACATTACCATGAATCATAATTTGCAAGCTCTTCCTTTCAAGGGACATGATCCCTGTTTATTGACATCCAATGAATACACTTCGAAATTAAATACACACAGTTTGCAGTATTAATATCTTCCTGAGATCCAAGGGAGAATTCTATTTCTTCTACAGCCTACTCATAGGTGGAATGAAAGAGGACCAACAAGACAAATGAAAACACAAGACTATAAATCCTTGATATCTGGAGGCATCAATGAAAGAAGAAAAAGGATAAATGAAATAATCATCTACAGCAGACTGCTCTTAATAGCATAATCAGTTGTTCTTCTTAAAAGTTGGACAACTTCGGGGTTTCCAGTCTCCACATACCAGATTCCCTTGAATGAGAATGATAATCATTTCCAAGGATTAACAAAACTAAAAGTAGCTCATTATTTTTGTTCCTTTAGTAGGGAATTTGATTCCCTTATGGCAACAAGTCTGGCAAAAATACTTGCTTTCAACTGGGATTCCCATAAATACTTAAACAATCCATAATTTTATTTTTATTGTATCTACTTACACAGACTACAATCATTTTTCAGTCAGTAAGACTGTTTCTGAAAAAGTTGCTGTGACTGAAACCTGCAGGCAATCTTATAATGTGCACCTATGAATAGGTAGGTTAGTCCTTGGATGAAACATAGTATCCATCACTGTGCCCATGCCCAAAGTTTTTCTAACTTGGTAGAACTTGCTATGATGCATACTATGCTGACATAGCCTTTAATAATCCAGGGTTAAAGGTCACATCAAAATGAAACAATGGAATAAGACTTTAGCAGAGGTTTTCCTAAGTAAATCTGGACATGGAAATCTGGACAATGATTCTAAAGAATAACAAAGCTCTAATAAACAACATTTACGTAACATTAAATGTTTGAAAATGCTCTTCTCATAACAATCCCGTGAAGAAGGTATGCCCAACTTACAGATGAGGATACTAAAGATAACAAAGGTTAAAACTCATCCAGGGTTACACAAATATGTGTCACAGCAGAGATTTTAACTGGAGTCTTGACTCAAATTTAAATGCCCTTTCTACTATAAAATCCTTCCCTTCCCCTCTCCCCTATCCTTCCCTGCTACCATCATCACCATAACTGAACTGAGCTGGCACACTGAACTTGACATTCTTAAGGTAAATGTGAAGTCCACTTTGGAGGCATGAGGGAAGGAGAGAACAAAATGTCTGTTTCCTGGTCTATCACCTAAACCTAAGACTGATTTCATTACTGGGGAGAAATGAAGGAGGAAAAGTGCTTCCCTTCAGAAAACTCTTCCTGTATAAGCCTGAATGGAATCAACTCAAAGCATGAAACTAAAGGTTTAGCTACGGTGTCCAAGGAATAGTTGACAAACTAGTTAATCTGATTAAAATGTAAACTTCAGGATACACTTTGGTCTCACATGATGACAGTTCTTAAAACCGGTAATTCAAAGAATGGACCCTTAGCACCGATGATAGTGCACACTTCACCTTTTCTCCCAGTAAAAACTTAGGTCAAGTCTAGTCCTTCTGATTAAATATTTGCTCACCATCATGTCCATGTAGGAATAACTTTCCAAGGAGGATTACAAAATCCATCATGTTATCTTTCACTTAATACAAAATGAGTATACACTACTGCCTGATAATTCTTTTAGTCTCTTCAGGAGATACACAGAATGTGAGAGATGGGAGTAATCTTATTTATTTCCTTTTTTAACAGAATTAGTCAACGAGGAGGGTGAAAATGCTGTGAATAGTTTACCTAGATTTTATCAAAGCTTTTGATAACGTTACTGCATACCACTCCAGAGGGGAAGATGTAGAACTACAGAGTAGAGAAGACAAATAAATGAATTGAGAACTAAGTGACAGCTCCACTCAAAGAACAAGTTTTTTGTTTCATCCTTTGATTTTGAAATGAACCAATGATACCCCAAGGTTTATGTCTGAGGCAGTGTTTCAAGTTCTCAGCCTCACTCTCTCCTTCCAGAGTCACCAAAGTCCAGTGGGCAAGACAAAAGTCAAGAAGACTAGTGATAGCCTGGGATACAATGGACGACCTTGGCATCTTCAATGTCTGACCAAGCTCTAAATGCTCCACATGCCTGCTTCAGCCACCCTCATGGCCATTGGAACAAATTGTTCTCATTCACACAATCCATCAGGGGAAGTCTTTACATATTTGGGGTAGACATCCCCTTAACTCATCAACAGGTTTGAGGTCTGTCAGTTAACCTCAACCTGGTTTGGCCTATCTGCTGAGATGGTTTTACCAGAGTGTGGCTGCTGGGCACATTAGTTTCGTGGAGCCACAAGTGAGAGTTGAGTGCCAGGTGGATACCAAAGGTGGATGAGCAGCCCTAGAAAGGGTTCAGCAAGCCCTCACACCAGAGGTGCTAGTTCTCCTTGAACACCTCAATATTATTATTTCAGAAGATCTCCACTGACATATCCCAAGGATCTGTTCTTGGCTGTGGGCTGTTTACTATGTTTTTATAAATGCCTTGAATTAAAGGAATTCATGGCATGTTCATCAAATTTTTGGATGAGCTAAAGCTGAAAGAGTTAGTAGTTGGGATCTAAAAAGATCTTGACAGGCTAGAGCATTACACTGAATTTAAGATGAAATTTAATAAGCATAATTATAAAAGTCTTTTTATCTAGGTTAAAAAAATTGACTCCACAATTACATGAGAGAGGAGGCATGATTAGACAGCAGTTCTGAAAAAGACTGGGGATTTTGGTGGTCTGGGAGTTCAACTATCAGTCAACAGTATCAGTGTCAGCCAAAAACACTAATGAGATGTTGAACACTAACGCTCCATGAAGAGAAGATGCTTCCAGGAATAGTGAAGTGGTGGTCCCACTGTCCTCTGCCATCTTCAGACCTCCTCTGGAGTATTTTGCTCAGTTCTGGGTGACAGAGTTTAAGACAGACATTAATGAAATGGAAAGGGGTTCAGAGGATGGCAACCAGATTCATGAAGAGTCTTGAGTCACTATCATATCATAATGACTGGTTAAAGGAACTAGTCGTGTTTGAGTCTAGAGGAAAAAAGTCTTCTGTGGAGCTAAAACAAGATTAGACTTTTTAATAATTGACTAATTCTGGGTCAAAAGACAAAAATTAGGGGGCAGCTAGGTGGCGCAGTGGATAGAGCATTGGCCCTTGAGTCAGGAGGACCTGAGCTCAAATCCAGCCTCAGACATTTGACATTAGCTGTGTGACCCTGGGCAAGTCACTTAACCCCATTGCCTAGCCAAAAAAAAAAAATTACCCTTTTGCCAGCCTCATGAACTTGGAAAAGACATGAAATCTGGATGCACTGGCTTATTTATGTTGATACACATATTTATTTATGTTGTTGGATAATAAAAATTTTAACTCTGCTACATTAATAATACAAGCTCCAATTATTTCTTACTATATGCCTCAAAGGGCTATTGTGGAGAAATCACTTAGTAAACTAAGAACTACATGAATGCGAATTACCTATGGGTTAATACACTAAAAATACAAGAGCAACTGAGAGAAGTTAGATAAGAAAAGCACAAACCTAATTAGTTATGGCACTTAAAGAAGAAAAACTCACTATACCTGCTCCTTTCTCTTTTTGAGTCGTGCATTTTCTTCTTGCACATGATGCAGTTCAGACTTTACTTTCTCTTCACTGAACTTAGCTTCATTAAGGGCTATCTGCACCTAAAGCAAAAGATTACCATTACAACTGTAATCTCTCTGCTACTTCATATCCACACTGGATTTTTGATTTTTTAATGGCAAAAACATGCAGATTAGTATATCATGAACTATTTATATTTTAAGGAGTCTCTTGAGGGAATTGAGGGGATTAGGACAGCAAGTGGTAGGGGGAACTGAATGAACCACATTGACTCCATCTTGTGGCTCAATTATGGAGCTAGCTCAGTTCCCCCTCTATTCAATTATGAGTCTAGTCCAATTTCTGTCTTGTCAGAAAAACTTCATTAAATTATGGGAACTGTGAGAAAACTTTATTGCATTGTTTGAATCTAACCTCGTGTGGCTGGGAATCTGGACCATCTCTCCCTGTTCTTAGAAACCCTTATAAGGACATCTAGGTTATACTGACCAGAAACCCAGTCAGATCTAAAGAGTGATGCAAGAAATTTTCTAACAATTATACATCTCAAGCAACCCATATGTCTTATCTGAAAACTGGCCCCTTACAGGTTAATCACTTATTGTTTCCACGTTCCTCTGACTGAATACAGACACTTGAGGGGAGTAGAACACATTTTCTGATTTCACGGAATTATACCTGTTCACTCTCCCCCTCCCAACTTTAAAGTCCCTAATCCTTCCTCCAATTAGAAATCAGATTACCTCATTTTGTATCCTGGCTAATTGTTTTCTTTTAATTAATTGGTTTTATTTAATTAACTGTTTTTAATGCATAAAAATCTGTCTCCAATATTTGGGGTCCAGTGCCAAAGCTGAGGAAGGCTAATGGTCACGATTTGTTGGACAACTGGCATACATTGCTTAATAAATTGAGATAGTTGGAAGCGTAAACCTTTCTTTTCTTAGTCATTTCATCTTTCACCCACCATACTTGGTACTATAAGCCTTCAGGAAAAGTTAGATTATTTTACCTCTGAAAGTTCAACAGAATGCATTGCAATAACTTCTTGTAGCTTTTCTATTGATTTCTGAGTTTCCAATATCTGTATGAAAAAGAAAACAGGAAACAAAAATGTATATTAACTAAAAAGTTAAACGTTAGCCATTTAGTAAATCCATAAAATGAGCATACTTTTAGAAGTAACATTTAACAAACTTTATTCTTTTATACTTCTGATAAAGGCCACCAACAACCTTAAGACCTACAGATCTACTTCTGTAGGGAAATAAAGGAGAATGGAGGAGGGACAACAATCAAGGAAGGCACAATAGAAGGCACAAATGTTCTTCTGAATATATAAGGGTCATACATAATCATGCTTACTGAAATGAACAATGCAATAAAAGAAAATGGGAGGAAAAAAAATTTTTTTTAAAGGAAAATATAATGGACTCAGAACTCAAATACCCCAAAACTGATGTTTCTCTACCCTCTGCAGGGTGATATTGAGCAAAACTATTGGACAATTTTTATACAAGTGAAAATTCCACAAGAAACACTGCTACTGCATCTTGTCATTTTTACTTTTCTCTGAGCAAAGTACAGAAAAGGATAAAAATTACTATGAGTAAATAGCAACAATAAACACATGCAGTATGTGCTCAAAATCTAAGGCAGCAGTTCTCAAGCTTTCTGGTATCAGGACTCCTTTATCACTCTTAAAAATTATTGAGGACCCCCTCCCAAAAGAGCTTTTTACATGGGTTATATATTTGCGATGTTAGAAACTGAAATATTGTCAGCATTATGAAAACAGTTTTGACCTCACAGACCCTCCTGAAGGGGTTTCAGAGATCCATGCGAGTCCCCAGATCACCCTTTGAGAACAAATGCTCTAAGGAAATGTTCAAAGGTAAACAGACTACCCTGTCTTCCACCAATTTCAAGCAAAAGTCTCAACTCAAACAAGGCACAAAAAAATTCCAAATTAGAGGAATGCTTTTACCATGTCCTGTTTCTTTACATTCTGTTCTTTCTCAGTTTCCAACAATGAATGGAGATTTTTCACTTTGTCACCCAGTTTTTGGTTTGTTTCTTCAAGCCCTCTCATTTTATCCTAAAAATTATCAAGATCAATGAATTCAAGGAAATAAATCATTAAAAGTGTCTGCTACTACAATGGTTATTTTAAAAATCACTGATTTTACTTTTGTTTTTGTGCTATAATCCTAAAAATAGGGAGGATTTTTACCTTAAGGCCAGCTGCTTCATCAGAAAGATTAATATTTTGTTTCTTGGTTTCCTTCACTGACTCCTTTGCTTTTTTGATCTATAGACAGACAAAAAAAGATTCAGAAGAAGCAAAAAGCAAACTATAAAAACACCACAAAACAGATTGTCTCAAAAGTCTTATTAGTTCAGTTTAAGCTTTAATTCACTAAGACTTTTGGGACACGCTGTATATCTAAATGGGTGCTTGCTTTACATAATATAACCTCAGAAGGCATTATATTTGCATTTCCTTCAGATTTAGATAATTTGTAGAAAATAATGGACTAAGATAGTATGATTAAAGGGCTGAGTTATTAGAAATGAAAGAAAATGAAATCAAACAGGACCACCATACCTTCTGATCATATTCTGATATTTTTTCTAAAATCTCTGTTTTTTCTTGTAAAAGAGTTTTAATCTTCTCAGCAAGCTGTTTTTCAGTCACTAAGAGGAAAAAAGGCCATACAAAACTTTAACCATCTCACTGTTAGTAGAAAACCCATATCAACTGGTATTGTTATATTTGAGCTCTAAGATCAGATAACATACTGCCCACTTTGCACTTATCTTCTGAGTCCTTTTTATTAGACTTTATGGGAGGACAGATTTAGAACATAAAGGAACCTTGCAGATTACCTACTCCAACCCCCCTCATTTTACAGATGAGGAAACTGAGGGCCAGAGAGTCATATAAGTAACTCCAAGGTCACATAAGTAGTATCAGAGTCGGAATTTGAAGCCAGGTGTGAGATCAGTTCTCTGATCTCAAAACCAGGATTATTCCCACTCTACCATGTCTTACGTCAAGAGCAGAAATAAATAATTATCAATTTCATGATTGTTTATGTCTATTACCAAAAAAAAAAAGCTTCTTTTCTGATGAGCCCATCAATAAAGTGGTTTATGTCGCAAAAGTACCTTTGGATTTTACATTTCATACCAGGAACTCAAGTCCAAACTTTTTCAGGCCCTAAACACCAAAGATATAGTAGCTCAATTAATGAATCTGATAATCATCCTTTCTTGCTGTGGACCCTGGCATAGCACATACTATATGCCATAACATTATGTTAGAGGAACAAAGGACTGGTAGAATGAATTCACAACACAAATGAGGAAAAGCCATTTTGTCACCATAGACCAAATAATTTAAAGAACAAGAAACAGTTAACTCAATCATATTCCCTAAATTACATCCCAGAGCCAAATAAATTGCCTTGTGTGTGTTGTTCTTTTTTTTAAAATACTATTCTCTCAAAACTCTCCAAATGTATCTACTCTCACTTCAACTATCATCTCTGGAAATCCCAAGTCCTGTCTTCTCACCTGACAGCATTCCTATCTCCTAAATATTTTCCATTTCAAACTTATCAAGCATCTAAAACCACACATAAAAAAAGCTGGCTCTTCTCTCAACTTAGCATTTTCTACTAGCAAGGTGCTCCATAAATTCTCCCCACCACCCACAAAAACTTAGGAGTTATTCTTTCTCTGTCTTTCTTGAGTTCCAAATTCTAATAATTTGCCAATTTTTATTGATTTTTCCTTCCTAATGCTATCACTCTAGTGCAAAGCACCCCACACCTACATTATTGCACAGCCTCCTAATAGGCTTCACTATTTTAAGTTTCTCACTACTCCAAACCATTCTGCTCACTGCTGCTAGAGCAAGGGTTCTTAACCTGGAGTCCATGGACACCCCCTCACTCCCCAAGAGATCTATGCATAGATTTCAGAGGATAGGAAATGAAATTATATCTTTATTTTCATTAACTTTTTAGTTTCCTTCTTAATCCTCTATGTTTTATCTTACATAATTAAAAATACGGTTCTGAGAAGGGATCCTTAGGCTTTACCAGACTGTCAAAGGGGTCCATGACACAAAAAAAGTTTTAAAACTCCTGTGCTAAAGTAATCCTGCTATAACATTATTGCAATCATGTTACTCCCTCCTGTCTACCAGATCAAGGCCAACATCTTTTCCATAACATGTAAGTAAGGTTTTTCATAATCTGACCTCACTTTAGCTATTCCAACTCAATTTTCTACTAGTCTAGAATATAAGCCATCTTCTCCAGTCATAATTCTCCAGTTTCCTAAATGTCTCTTCCACACTGTCCCCAACCCCCACCAAAAAAAACCCTATTTCTACCTCTGCATTTTTGTTCATGCTTGGAATACCTTCCTCCATACTTTTTAAAAATTAATTTATTTTGACTTATCAACAATCACTTCCATAAGCTTTTGAGTTTTAAATTTTTCTCCCCCTCCCTCCATTTCTCCCACTCCAAGACAGTGCACAATGTGATATAGGCTATACATATACATTCCTATTAAACATATTTTCACATTAGTGATGTCATAAGGAAGAATTAGAACCAATAGGTTCCTCCATACTCTTGGCCTAAAAATATCTTCAAGGCACAGTTTAATTCCCATTCTACCTATGAAATTTTATTAAACTAGGGAAGCAGTACATCATAGCAGAAAAATCTCAGAGCTTGGAATCAGGAGATTAGGGTTTCAGTTCCTGCTCAGCTACTAATTTCTCATGTAAACTTGGACAAGTCATTTAATTTCTCTAAACCTGTTTCCTCAACCATAAATGCCAATTCTGCTACGTGCTACTTTGCAAGCCTTGGACAAGTCTTGTCCCCTTCCTATGGCTCAAGTTTCATCATCCATAAACTGAGGGTATGGGGTTAGATTATTTTCAAAGTCTCTTTCAACTCTAAATACTATGAATCTATGTGAAGGCATGAGACAAGATGTCAGTCAAAAGGCACTTATTAGGCACCTACTACTTATCAGACATTATTCTACAGTCTCATCTAACTCCCAAGTTCTACACAGACTACTTCTTCTAAACCCCTATAGGATTTATGATCTAGACCAGTGGTGTCAAAATCAAACAGAAATGGGGGCTACTAAACTGTAAGTGAAGATCCCTGCAGGCCACATATTAACTTAGAATTCAACATATTTATGTAATTCTTTTTTTATTATTACACAACACATTAAAATTAGATAAGTACTACATTTTATTCTGGTGTGGACCACACTCAGTAGTGTGCATGTTTGATACTTCTGGTCTAGACCACGCATTTTAACATTTAAGTTATATTTTGTCATATATTGTTCTTTAAAACAAATATTCTACCAGTGTTCATATGTCTTCAAGTCATGAAATATTAGTCTCTGAAGGATTAAAAATGAGTATTAATGAAAGCAAGAAGAGAGGTGCATGGTGGATATAAGCAGACTGTAACACATAAAAGGGAATCTCAAAGGAATTAACAAATATTTTTTAAGCATTTACTATGTGCCAAGCACTGTGTTAAGTGCTGAAAGAACTGGATTACACGAAGTCAAAGAAATGTACAAAAGAAAGAGGTGTCACAAAGTCAGAATGAGGAAAAGCCATAATACTCCACTGGTATTCTTACAACATCAAGAGAAAAGTAGGAAGGCTTCAACATATTAGACAGACATCCTATGGTGAACATATGAGATGAACATGGACACTTCCAAAGAATGGACAGACATAGATAAGGTGTGGTCTCTATATCTTTAGAAGGTATGTTCACATCAATGAGATCATGAGTATTGTTCTGTGGCTTTTATTTGTATCTTCTTCCTCACTAGGGAGACTCTAAATTCCTTCAGGAAAGAGAATAATTTCTTTTTATACTTCCTTTGAATCTTTCATAACACCTAGTATATAGTAGGTACACAATGCTTACTTAATTGAATTTTAAAAGAAAAGCCTGAGAATTAGTTGCTGTGTTTTCCTTTAATAAAAATAAAAGTTTCAGGCTATGTCTATAATCCTCTCACCCCAAAACCCAGTATGTGTTACAAAATTATTTTAATTTAGCCACTTTTTCTTAAAAAAAAAAATCATGCTAGGTCTTCTTTAGCTCAAACTATTTTATTTGGCTATACAAATCCATCTTCATAAGGACTATGCATTCTAACATAGAATATGTGGTACCTTCCCTTTTCATTCACAATCTAGTTTTTAAAACTAGCCTTGTAAGATTTCTATTCAACTCTGGTTTCTCAGGTAATTAGCAATTTGTATTTGGCTTTTGAATGCTACCTTACAGAACCTAGATTTTGAAACCTGATACTTAAAATACATCATTGGAAAAGCTAGGGGTTCCCAAAGTACTATATTCTAAATGTTTTTAATTAAGTACCCCATAGAATATCCTCTAAATATGAAGAAAGCTAAAATAATTTAGGAATTTCACGTCTATTATCTTCCTCAAAAACAACTTTTGGGGAATGATAGTAATTCTCAGAAGGTCCTCTAAAATGGCTTAAGAAAACCAATTTAAAAGTAGAGAAAAATCAGTTTATTTGATTAGTATTTACCCAAATAAATCCTATGTATAGATAACAAAAAAGGATATGGTTTATACGACTTATAGTTCAGTACTCTTCTGCTAGGCACATAGTAATTACTCAATAAACATTTTTTAGACTGACTAAAGAATCTTCTAATAATAATGTACCCTTGTTTCCTAAGAGACTTTTCCCACTTACTAATAAAATTACTGCTCTAGACCACAAGTCAGCATTATACAAAAGAGCCATTAGAGGAAGCTATATAGTTCCATTTAATATTGCTGAATTTAGTCATATAGCTTTTACAAAGTCTCAATATATTACAGATAGGTCTTGATTAGTACACAGAATGAATCCTATCAAGTAGTTGCATTATTTTAATTCCCACTGCATATTTCCATTGGATTGGATTGGAAGTAATGACCATATTTTGTGTAATTATAACTTAAAATAATGTGAATTCAAATACATGCAAATATGTCACAGGATTAATGCACACTAATTAGGACCTAGCTGTAAAAACACAGAATATAAGTAGAATCACTAAAATCTTAAGAGCTGGAAATAATCTTAGGCTTCATCTAATTTAAGGTCTACCCAAATTACTAATCTTGATTATTTAACCACTAGCTAAAGATCTGAAGTGACAGTAACCTCATTAACTTACAAGAGATCCTATCTTATTTTTGGTTCATTCTAATTGTTATTAGTTTTTAATGTTTGGTAAACTAAAATCCCCCTTTGACTTTTACCCTTAAGTACTAGCTCTGATGATATCGGGGGCAATGAATAACAAATTTAGTGTTTCTGTCATCTGTCACGTGACAATACTACAACAATTTGAAGGCCAGCAACAGATCACCAAATCTCTTTTCTCTAGATAAAATTCTTCAACTGATCCTCAAGATTTTGAATCCCTTTACTATTCTGGTCATGTGCTAATCCAGAAAATGCCCCTTTCAAAGATATGACAACTTACAACTATACCCAATGCTCCAGACTGTGATCAGACTACATAAGATAAAAATAAAAATGGTAATTCCATTGTTCTCTACACAGTATTAATGCGGGTTAAGATCACATTAGTTTTTTTGGCTACCAAAGGACACTGCAAATTCAATACTGAACTTACAAATCCACTAAGATCTACTGAGATCTTTTTCCATACTAACTGCTTTTTAGCCACATCTCCCTCATATTATACTGTGAAGTTGATTTTTTTTTGCCTAAGTGCAGAAGTTTACAATTATCCCTATTAAAAATATAATCTTGTTAGTTTCATCCAACATACTAGATAAGCACTCAATAAACTTGAAAACATAAACTACTTAGGAAAGAACTCCTTATTTGACAAGAACTAATAGGAAAATTGAAAAGCACTTTGTCAAAAAATGAGCTTAGGCCAACACTTTAGACTATTATATAGTAAATTCCAAATGGATATTTAACTTAAATATAAAAGGCTACATTATTTTAAAAAACTGAGGAAAAAAGATATAGGTATCTTTTATGACTATGGGTGGGAGAGAATTCTTAAACTAACAAGGGACAGAGATCACATTACATAAAATTTAAAAGATTCTACATAAATAAAAATCTTTGTATCAAAAATCTCTGCTAAAGGTCTGATATCCAAAATACGTAGTGAATTAACACAAACATATAAGTTCAAGAGCCATTCCCCAATGGATAAGTTGTCAAAGGACACAAACAATTCTCAGAAGAGCTGTAACTGCATGAAAGAAGCCTTCTCCAAATCACTAATAGGAGAATACAACAAATCAAAACAACACTGAAGTTTTACTTTACAAACCCAGCAAACTAATCACAGAATGGAAAAGATGAAAATAGTCAAAGCTGGAGGGGCTACAGGAAGACACACAAATATATACAAATTCCCTATCACCTCCAAGATCAAATACAAAATCCTCTGTATGGATTCAAAACCTAGCCCCCCCTTCTATCTTTCCAATCTTCTTATATTTTACTCCCTGACATATATACTCCCTTAAGTCTAATGGGACAGGGGCTGTCTTTTGCCTCTTTTTTACCAACCCAGTGCTTATCACAGTGCCTGGCACATAGTAGGCACTTAATAAATACTTAGTGACTGATTTATCAAGCTTGGCCTCAGAGAAAAGTTGAGAAATGCACTTCCTTTCATTGCTGAGGGAGTAGGGATGGGGAGGAGGGACACGACTTTGGGTATGGAACATTGCATATGCTATCAAACAAAGTTGATGGGTCTACTCTGCTACAACTACTTTTTAAAAAAAATCTCTGTTACAAAATAGTTTTGGTTGGCTAGGGAAGGTAGAGAGGGATGTCTCTGGAAATAAACATGATATAAAAACAAAAGTATCACTTAAAATAATGTATTACTTTACAGTTATTCACACACAAAATAACTCATAAGCTTGGTTAAGACAGGCCTAATGTCACCACCACTGGAAAAATTGTGTTATCTGAACATACATTATAAAGTGTTTTTGGATACACAAGCTATTCATCATGCTATGCATCGTAAACAAGAATTTCTTTTAACATCCTTCCCTCTTTGTCCTGATCAAATAATCTCCACATCTTTTTAACTCATAGCCAGCATAAACTAGATCATTTGGGGATTAGTATCTGAATCTCCCAAAGTCAAATTTAAAAAACAACCATTTACAGTGAAATGAAATCAATGTATCTGTTACAAATCACAGCATCTACATATATCACAGATATGTAAACTCTACTAAACATTACACTTGAGTGAATATGTAACACACAAACCAAAAATCTTACCTTGATAAACTCTACTCTTCACCTAGAATTGATAGAGAAGAATGTATTTATGTTTTTTATAAATTTGATAAATTTTATGATAAAACACTATAACAAAGCAGATATAATTGCTATTTTAAACTGACTAATATTGCTAATGTCATATATTAAGTGAAACTACATAAATATACTTTTGATGATTTCTAAATTAAAAGTCTCTAGTTTAATGTCCCTATTTCAGAGATAGGATAAAGGTCTGCTTATGTAACTATTAAATATGTCTAAGTAATTTGCAGAAAGGCAAGTTTAAACTTGAGGTAACATAGAATTTCCTAACCATTTAGAGATATCCAAGGCTGCCTAGAAAAGTAATGGGTCCAACAAAAGCTAGATAACCACTTGTCATATATTTTGTAGAAAGAATTCTTGTATAGTAATGAATTAAGACTAGATGTTCTCTGAGGTCCCACTTCTACAACATATCTTCCATATTCTGTAAAGTAGCAATTATCTTTATGGCAAATATAGTTAATGCTTCACTTTATCTAAACATCAACTTATCCTGAAACCCAACATAGCAAAGTACCATGAAGCAAGGATAAATGAGAAAAAGAAAGGGGGCTTTCAGTACCCCAATTTTACTTATAGGAAAGGCCTATACACTTTCAACTTAGGGCATACTTTACACATAATTCTAACAAATTTGACTAATTTATTTTTTGTCCCACTTCAAATCAGAATAAGCAAAATAAAAATGAAGAAAAGTGAGATGACTGCTAGCCACTATCACCCTGACAGAGACAAGGAATAAGAGCAAATAATGAGGGATAAGATATAAAAACTACAAAAAGCAGAAACAAAAATTTTTAAAATACCCTCCATTCTAATGACATTTTAGTATTAGAGGCAAACAGTACTAAATGTACTGCAACATCTGAAGATGACATAGGCAAGATCTTACAGAATGAAGGAGTTATATTCCAAATTTATTTTCTCATTGAAATTCAATTCAACACACATTTATTAAGTACTGCTTGTATCCAAGAACTGTTCCCAAAGCCTATTTAACCCACAATAAAACTCTAATTTTTTTAACTGGACCTGTAATTTCATTGTTATAGAGCAAGAACTTCTAATTATTAAATTCCCTCTCACAACTGAGAGCAACACCTGTTCTGCACCTTACAGTCTTAAGAAAGTTGCCTGAGGTGCTGATAAGTGAAGATACTTGGGGTCACAAAGTACTGCAATGTGTCAAAGGCAGGTCTTGAACCCAGGTCTTTTCTGGTCCCAAGGCAAGACCTCTATTAAAACTACAATACACTGCCTCTCCTAATCATATCAATTGTGCTGCTGAAACTACCTACTATTTATAACATTTTTTCAAAGAGAAAAATGCTTTCACAGTTCCAATTTGGGATGCCAAGACATATTTTCATCAAAAGATTTGTACCAAAAATTGTTGAAATTTTCAAAATTGTTCTGGCACTTAAAGGTATAACTTCTCCAATTTGAGAAATTCACTTATGTAGATTAGTTTATTCCTTGAGAATCAGAAGTGGAGGTATTAAATATGGATGGTATGATATCAGGTGACAGGGTGGCACGGTGGAAAGCAAGCTTTGGAACCAGAAAAGCTTGAGTTCAAGCCCCTCATACATATACAACCTGTCCGTGGAACTAAGTCATGTGCCATTCCACTAGCGTCCCAGGCCACTCTCTAAATTGTAAAACGACTGATAATCTGCTCTGGTCTAGGTCAAGGGTTCTTAACCTGGAGTCCATGAACTTCGGTTTTCTTTTTCTTTTTTAAATATTTTGATTAGTTGCATTTTAATAGCGTTGATTTCTTTTGCAATTCTGTATATTTTATTTGTGCATTTAAAAATATGATCTGAGAAGGGGCCCACAGGCTTCACTAGACTGACAAAGGGGCCCATCACACAAAATAAAAGGACCTCTGGTCCAGGTGAGATGCCTCGCTGGAAGCCATATGCCAATGAAATCCCAGGTCCATGGGAATTAGGACTATATGAATTTCTACAGTGCTTCTCCATTGTATATGGGAAAGAGGATCTCAATTACAAATATTACAGGCAAATTCAGAGGTATTAGTTATATATAATAGGCTGTATGGATGTAAAAATATCAATTTCAAAACAGACATACCTATATAAACAGAAAGCTTTTCTGAACTGCCTGAAAAAGTTCAGCAAGCAAGAGTCAATGAGGAATAGCAGATAAGTCAGTCTCTGGTGTCATCCAACAGAGCTGATCGCCTTGCTGTTCCTCACATACAGCACTCCATCTCCCATCTTCATGCCTAGCTGACTGGGATGTCCTCTTCACTTCCACTTCAATATTCACTTATTCAAGATTCAATTCAAACACCACCTTTCAACATAAAGCCTGCCAGTACTAAGTTACCCCCACTCCCCCCCAAAAAAACACCTCTGTATTTTTTCTATATATAATTATATAATCTATGTGTCTCCCCTTGTAGACAGGTTTCTTAAGAGGTGAGACTGGGGGCGGCTAGGTGGTACAGTGGATAGAGCACTGGCCCTGAAGTCAGGAGGATCTGAGTTCAAATCTGGCCTCAGACCAAACACTTGACACTTACTAGCTGTGTGACCTAGGCAAGTCACTTAACCTCAACTGCCTCAAAATAAAAAAAGCTTAAAAAAAAAAAGAGGTGCGACTGTTTGATTCCACTTGTCTCTGTATCCCCAGTGCTTAACACAGTGCCTGAAACACGGAAAGCACTTAATAAATGTTTGTTGGTGAAATGATATAGTCTCCTTACCTAGAATTTCAGAAAATTTTTATTTCAAGTTAAATTTTCAGTGTTTTCTATAGTTGAGCTGATCACCTTATATGTCTAAAAACTATATAAGAATTATGCAAAAGAACAAGAACCTAAAATATGAGAACTTATCACCAGCAATATAAATCATCTGTCAGGTTCTAACAGAAAGACACTTAACTTTCACCCAGAAAAGTACCACTGATTTTAATTACCACCAGCATTTATATCATATTTAGATGGATATGAAATATTTCATTTGAAGTAGTCATTGTCAGTGGTATTTTTTGACATTTTCTCACTGGCATACAGAGTTATCTTTTCCACTAACATTCCCTAAAGGCTGTTATAACAAAATTTAAGATCGTTTTAAAGGGATAGCTTGTGTTTCAAGTAGTTTGTGTTCACATATTAACAAAATGGAGAGACAAAGAGGAGGTTAAAGAAGTACACCTTGGTATTAGCAGAGTACTAAATATACTAAAATACTAATGTTTTATGCAAATTTCACCTAAAAATAAATTCAATATACTCACTGAAAGAAACGTTCTCCAGAAGAAAATGGCAAGTGAAACAATTCCCAGTAAGACTGTAATAATTATAGGCTCCCAGGGCATTCCACGAAAATCAGGACCAGGTCGAATATCCTCAGGTAATGTAGCAATCAACTGAAATATCAATGTTGGAAATGATGAACAAATTTGCAAGAAATTTCTCATGACACATTCACAATGAATCACAATAATATTAAATCATATTTCTATCATTTTACTACTCCCTCCTCAAAATTTCAATACTTCCACTCCTACAAAATGAAGTTCAAATCCCTTAGTTGACCAGCATTCAAGGTCTTCACAATCTAAACAAAAACTACATTTATAACCTCATTTACCCCCTTTGTTCTACAAAATGAGGCTTATATCAAGCAAAAATGATTTGCTGTCTCCTAAAAATACTTTTCAAATTTCCATTTCTTTTCAAATTCCCATTCAAATTTCCCATGGCCATTCAAATTTCAATTTCCCTTTGATCATGCTATTTTATCGCCTCTTTAAACTACTGGCCCCAAACCTGGAATGCCCAACTGCTGTCTCCTATGTGCTGTTGTTATTATCATCATAATTGTTATTATTATTATAACCACTAAGGTTGTTAGAGATCTTTCCTTCCTCTGCATTTCTAGAGCACTTGCTGTCTAGACTACTTATATTAAATTGTTGGTGCCTTTTATTGTTATCTTTACATCTTAACTAGACTAAAAGTTTCTTGAAAGCATGAATCCTACCTGTCAAATTTTTTGTATACCCTTCAAAGCAAAGAGAATATAATGCCACCTTTTAAAAAAATTTTTTTTATTGACATCTTTTGTTCTTTAAATCACCATGATTTCTTCCAATATCCCTCTTCAGATAGTGTGGGACAGAAAATGCTCAATAAATATGTGTTGAGTGATTCAACTTCTTCATATAAATCAAATACTAGGGAGCAAACAAGACTTCAAAAATGAAAAACTGAGTCCACATCATACATATATCTCATCAGCCCAGATAGAAAACATGAAAGGACCACAAAGCAAATAAATAATTTCATTAATCAGGACAGAATCTCCATAGTTCACGTGGACATAGGCTAAACATCTAAAATTCTATACTATATTAATGATAAATATGAAAAGAAAGAGATGAGAGCAGATCTCATCATCACATTTTAGCTAGGCTGAACTCAAAGTGAACAGATGAAATAGAGGTTTTCAACTTTCCAAACTTTCACAGATTTTTCCTTTTCTACACCTCTGGATCCACAGATTCTTTAAATGAATCAAGTTTCTAACAATGATTCCCATAGCAATGGCAGTCTATAAAGCATCTGTGTGGGAGACAGGAAGGTAGGAGGCATTGTGGGGGAATGTTATTTTCCAAACTCAAGTTTACCACATGTAAGGCATTGTGGTAGGTCTTCATAATGCAAAGATAAAATAAAATAGAAGAGGCCCTGACCTCCAAGAGTTCACAATCTAATAAGGGAGTAAGACATATACAAATATTCAGAAAGCAAAATGAGATAACTCCAGAGACATAAACAAGAAGCTATGGGGAAGAGTGAATAAGTGTAAATCACTTCCAGCTGAGAGAGGAGTTCAGGGATAGAGGAGTTGGCATCAAACAGAGAAGGGCTTTGAAAAAAGAAAAGGATTTCTACAGACTAAGATGAAAGAAGAGTGAGCGCATTCCAAGCATAGAGATGGTCTGCACAAATACATGGAAAGGGTAATTAATATTACAATTAATATTGGTTGGAATACAGGGTATAGTCGATGAATGAGAATTGTGTATTATCACAATGCAATTCTGTCTTACTTCCAGGTTAGGAACTCTCTCTTCTCAATGTAGAATGACATCTTTCCTGAAACTACATCTTTAAAAGTTTGCTGGGATACTGAGAAAATAATTAACTTGCCTAGGATGCAATAGCCAACCTATATCAGAGGAAGGACCTGAACATATGCCTCCCTGACTCAGGCCAATACTATAACCATTACAAGACACTGCCTCTCAGCAACGCAATTAAGAAAGCCAAATATAATGAATGCAGAAATATAACGAAATGCAGAAAGACCCTATGTGAAGCAATATACCTGAAGAAATCAGAATTGGAAAATCAATGTATGTTGAATTTAATTACATAAAAAGCTGTGACAATACATACATGAATGGACAAACATCACAAAGTGGCATGGAGTTATAGTTTCTTTTATATGTTGATATTCACTTTTCAAACATAAACCACTTGCCCATTTAAAGTTTTCAGGCTTAAAGTTGATACACTCTTCAAAGAATTCAAATAAATGAGTAAAATAAAAGTCACCTTCTCACCTGAAACCAAAATCCTAGATCACATACATTGAGCTAACTTTTAACAACCATTAATGTCAGTCTTGAAACAAGTGCTCAAAAAAAAACTCCAAGAAAAATAAAAACTTTTATGCAACATGAAAAAGCAGAATAATTTATATCAATAGTTACAGCCAAATAACCAAAGTATAACTTTTGGTTATCCCTCTTTTCTAGCTATTATCTAAAGTTAGTACTTAGTATAAATTTTCTCTCCCCTTGAGAGCTTTACTGTCCTAAGCACATAGAGTGGACTATTTAAAAACACAAAGTTACTAAGAACCTCCCACTTAAAAAAAAAATTAACCTCCGGCTTAGTCTTCCAAACTTAATTCAAAACAGTGGTGTCTCCTTTTGGGAGAGAACTGAAAAGGGAGAGGTAAAGAAGGAAGGAAAAAAAAAAGTTAAATTAAACTCTAAGATAAGTCACTAAGAAGCTACAAACATGTTTTCATGGTGTGGTATTACATTGAAAGAACATTTGGATATAACTGGGTTTGAGTCCAAGCTCCAACACTGCAAGCAAGTACCCTCTTTCTGGGTTGTAGTTTTTTTAGTTGCAAAGATTAGACCAGATGACCTCTATTGTCCCTTATGGCTCTCAAGTTCTATAAAACAGCTGTCCCAAAACCTTTTCAGGGGGTACATGAGGTCAAAATGATTTCATAATAAAAATACTTTTAAATTCCTAACAATGTATATACACATAGAGAAATAGACAGATAAATATAACCACATAAACAAAAGCTCTTTGGGGATGGGGGTCAACAATAATTCTTACGTGTATATAAAGGGGTCATGAAAACAAAAAGTTTGAGAACCACTACTATAAAGCTGCAATTCATGTGGTGTGTAAAATAGAGTGAACAAATAGCATGCAAAAACAACCCAAAGTATTAAGCCTGGTTTCCTATAGACTTAATAAACTAAAGACAGAATCGTCTAGGCATCAAACTTTTGGCTCTTGGGCCAACTCCTGAGTGCACTCCATGTCAGATTAAAATGTAACTGGGAAATGCTGAACAAAATAAATACAAATACAACACAGATGTGAATTTTTGGTTTTCAAATCCCACAGGTTTCCATTTGAGTTTGATACCAAAGACCATAGCTTTTTTTTTTATATTCTCATTTTGTGATTTAAGAGTTTTACTTTATCAGGGGAGAAGGAAGCAAGGAAAAAGCTGTTAAGTTTGAAGAGCAGATTGTACTTCATTAACATCTTTCTATCCCTTTCTTATTTTTTTAAATGTTACAAAGCAAATGCAGGAAATAAAAAGGACAATAGAAACTCTCCCAACTCATTCTTACAAGTCACTGACCTCAAGATAAAACAAAATTTCTGCAGCCATCTTAAAACATCTTATTTTATGTGCATACCCTTTGACCCAGCAACACTACTTCTAGGGCTGAAAACAGGAAAAGGACCCACATGTACAAAACGCTCTTTCTATGATGGCCAAGAATTGGAAATTGAGGGGATGCCGGTCAACTGGGGAATGGCTGAACAAGTTGTGGTATATGAATGTAATGGAATACTATTGTGCTATAAGAAATGATGAGCAGGCAGATTTCAGAAAAACCTGAAAAGACTTGTATGGACTGACGCTGAGTGAGAACTGTTGTACACAGTAACAGCCACGCTGTGTGATGATTAACTTTAACAGACTTAGCTCTTCTCAGCAATGCAAGGATCTAAGACATCTCCAAAGGTCTCATGATGGAAAATGCTATCCACATCCAGAGAAAGAACTATGGAGTTAGAATGCAGATCGAGTCATATATTTGCTTTTTTTTCTTGTTTTGTTTTCTCTTTCTTGTGGTTCCTCCTATTGGTTCTAATTCTTCCTTACATCATAACTAATGTGAAAATATGTTTAATAGGAATATATATATGTAGAGCCTATATCAGATTGTGAGCTGTCTTGGGAAAGGAGGGGGAGAAAAATTTAAAACTCAAAAGCTTACGGAAGTGATTGTTGATAAATCAAAATAAATTTTAAAAATCTTATTTTAAGATAACAAAATAGTAGAAAGAGATCAGTGATTTAAAAGTAAAACTTGAGTTTTAGGAATATTATTTACATCTACTTTCATGCCAGCATAAGGCACAAAGTAAAATATTTATTTACTAATTCAGCACGAATTTAACTTTTATGGAAGTAGATGAGCCTCAAAGGAGCAGGAAAAATCAAGATCACAATGAAAATAACACTACCTTCAAAAGACAAAACAAAAAAGTCTCCAAGATTTCCCTGTCATTTGGTTTTATCTGTACTTAAAGTTCCATTTTTGAACTGGTAGAGATACATGCAGCTTCTCTGCATTACTGATCCCTTCAGGACTGGTTGCAGATAGCTTTCCCCAATTTTAACTAAATTCTCACTTCAAAACTCTATTCCTGAACTCCGTCCCTTTTCCTTGAAAACAAAAGATCGGATATAATACACCGACATTCCTTGTGAAAGCAATACACACACACACACACACACACTTGTGACAGCAGCATGCTTTCCTCAAAACACACACAACATAGACACCCACAAGACACACACACTCTTGTGACAACAGCACGCTTCTCCTTCAAACACACACACACACACACACAACACCCCCCCCCGTACGCACACCACACACACACACACCCCTGTGACAGCGGCACGCTCCTTCCTCAAGCTGCACAGGGAAGCACCAGTCTCTTCGGATAGGAAGAGGCCAAGGCCACCTCCACAAAGAGCCGGCCTCTGGGCCAACGAGTCGGTTACCTTTCCCCGGGG